GGGGGATTTTTCAAATACACCCCATATGTCAGGGGTGAAAATAGGTATTAACCCTATTATCTATTATAATATATTAATTTTGAGATACAATTGATAGTTCATTATTTTTCAAACCATTTGATTGATAATTCATAATCTTTCATGTCACATCAATTAAAATATAATATGACACTCTTCAAAATTTATCAATATAAAACTTTTAATGTTCATTTTAATATAATGTATAACTTTCTACTCATAATTACTAAAATAAAACACTCTTATTTATATATTCTACAAGTTAATTCTCTATTTTTTTTTATATATTAATCATTACTTTTTTTGTATCTATCATCTTTTTGCGTATAAAATACATAATATAATATTTTAGTCCATAAAAATTATAAATAAAAGTTAAAAAATAAATTAAAATGAGTATTACATTGTTTAAAATATATCTATTTATTATAATGTATTAATTTTGAGACACAAATCATTTGATTGAATTCATCATCTCTCAAACTATTTGATTCACAATTTAACATCTCTCATGCACACTAATTAAAGTATGATGTGACACTCTTCAAAGTTTATCGATAAAAAACTTTTAATACTCATTTAAACATTGCTTAAAATAAAATATTTAAATAATACTTTTAAATTTAATTTTTAACTTTGCAATAGACTAATAAATGATTTTCTAAAACATGATTCTTAACTATAATTATAGTTAATTGTTAAAAATTAAACTTCAAATATAAAATTAATTAATTATTTCTTTAGTCTATTACATAAAAATGTCCAAAAATATATTAATAAATTATAAATATTTAAAATAAAAAGACAATTCAATTGAACTAAATCAATTGTATACATAAAAATTATTGGTATAATGAAAGACAAACACACATCAATATTTTTGTTTGTGTCTATCATCTTTTTTTCGTACAAAATGCATAATATAATATTTTACTCAATAAAAATTATAAATAAAAGTTAAAAAAATAAAATGAATATTATATTGTTTAAAATATATCTATCTATTATCTATTATAATATATTAATTCTGAGACGGAAACTATTTGATTGAATTCATTATCTCTCAAATCATTTGATTGACAATTTATCATCTCTCATGTCACACTAATTAAAATATGATTCGACACTCTTCAAAGTTTATCAATAGAAAATTTCTAATATTCATTTTAACATTGCTTAAAATAAAATGGTTAAATAATACTTTCAAAATTAACTTATAACTTTGTAATAGACTAACAAATGTCTTTCTAAGATATAATTCTTAATTGTAATTATAATTACATGTTAAAAATCAAACTTCAAATATAAAATAAATAATTATTTTTTAGCCTATTGCATATAAATGTCCAACAATAAATATATTAATAAAATATAAATAATTAATAAAAAAGACAATTCATTTGAATTAAATCAATTATATACATTAAAAGTATTGGTATAATGAAAGATAATCATACAACAATATTTTTGTTTTTTTTAATACACAATTGACCATCTAAATCATAGAAACATATTAAATCATTATACTCATTATCTTATATATCAAACTACTAAGATATTGTAAAATAGAGAGTTTTATCTTAGATCTTATGTCAATTGTGATAATTGATTACGTACTTGTGAATTATTTAAATTTAGAACGTATTCAATCCATAAAATCCATAAAATGATGAAAACAAATTTTTAGAGATGGTGAAAAAATGACAAATTAAACAATAAAAAACTATTTAAAATTTTATATATTTATTTCATATTTATCATTTTTAATTTTGATGTCTTATCTTACATTTTCATATTTGAAAAAAAATCACTTTAAATTGTATTTTTTTAAATATTCTTTTTATCCATTGTTTTAATTAGAAATTTTTGTATACTAAACATAACCAAGATCGATCTAATATAATAATGCTTAAATAACTCATCTCAGTCCTACTATGGGTGGGAATAGACTGGGCTGGGCTAGGCTAGGCCAAGTTTGAGTTTGGCCTGCTAAAAAATTCAAAATCTAAGTCTGATTAGTAGCCTATCATAGACTTATTTTTAGGTTTGCGCCTAGCCTTTTCGAAAGCCTGATTAGCCTACAAACCTACTTAAAAGTCTATTTCATTTGAATATTTGTAAATTAGCAATTCAACTAAGATTATATAGATTAACAAATTAAAAGATCAATGAGATTAAATGTTTGTTTTCATTTACTCAATCGAGTTTACCTATTAACAAAAGTAATGTGATAACTAAATTTTATTTTCAACTTACTTTTAGGATTTATGACAACAGCTTATGACATTAGTCATAAGGTTTTTCAACTTATTCTCATAAGTTTTTTAAGATAACTAAGTTTTAATTTCGTATTTTCATTCAAAGTATAAAATATAATATAATAATAAAATTATTCATATTTATTTAAATAGGTCGACTTAGTAGATTTAAAAGGTTTTTTTTATGGTCCGTGGCCTAGTCTTTTTTAGCTAAATAGGCTTATAAAAAAGCCTAAACCTTTTCTATTTTAAAAAAAAATCTGGCTTGGCTTGAACCTGAATAAACTAGACCGTAGATCCCTATTAGTTGGTCTGACTTATTCTCACCCCTAAATCTTGTACATCACACGAATCTTATTCTAGTAATTAAATAATTTTAGAATATTTTGAAGTCGAATGCAATAATAATCAAATAAATGAATCTCTACCTTGTATATTTTATATTTGATGACTCACCTTTTAAATTTTAAAATGGTTCGTATGAAACAGAAAAATTAAAAACTCAAAACCCACTCGAAGAAATAAACTCAGGGAAAAAAGATACTAATGAATTATAATATCGTTAACATTCAAACTAATTTTTTTAATTAAAAAAGTGCATAAATCATAATTCAATTGAAAAAACATTAATATTATTAAATTGAAAATCATCAAATAAATTTAAATTTTACAATTATAGATAAATTTTTATTTAAGTTATTTTTTTAAGAAGCTAAAAATAATATATTTACCGACCAAAAGTCCTTCAATTTCAAGGCGTACAAAAAGAACTAATAAAGTACTGTTACAACAACATCTCGAACTAAAACACAATCATGAATCCAAAAACTCAAAACTAAGCAACACTAGCCGAATACAATGCATCGGATGCACTCTTCAATACTGGTAATCAAAATTTAACAATACAAAATAAGATTTTAACCACCAGAACAATTGCAGTTTACCTTGTCACAAATAAACATTAAAAAATCTTATTATTCTGAGCTTTCTAAATGATCCATACAATAGTTACTCAAATGATGTGGAAAGCTTTTCTATCTGATAGAGACATACCAGCCAATGCGATAAAATAGTCATGATGCTCTCTAATGTTGCCTAGAAAAGCCAACGAGAATCCTAACCAACCAGACAACATTGGTCAAAGTTTGTCATAATAATCACAACGAACAAAAATATGATCCTTGTCCTTAATGTGACCATAGTCAAATGGGCAATTTTGCTCAGCAGTTATAATAACACGTCTCCTAACTAAATTATCCTTCGTCGGTAGCTTATTCAGATATAACCTCCAAACAAAAAGGTTTACCTTTAACGACACCGCTTTTGACCACCATACATGAGAGTCACCAACAGATTGAGTATCTGCCATCTTCGCCAACACATGATATGCACTACTAACATTATAATGTAAAGAGGAATGAAGTTTCCACACCCAGATATTTTTGACCGCTTTCTGCAAAACAAAAGAATCCAACAACCTAATACACACCCCCACCAACTCTTCCTCCCATGCCACCTCCAGGCCTCGACATCCACCCACACCCTAATGAGAACATATATGATACAGTAGCATCCTTATCCTCAGATAACTTATAAAGCCTCTATAATCTAGACATTAACACTCCGTCTTCCAACCAAGAATCCCTCTAAAAAAATGAGCTTACCCCATTACCTACTGACCTCTTGATATTATCGACCAGCCGCCGTCTTTCAATCGTCTCACTCCCTTGTCGGATCATATTCATATACTGCCATCACACCGAACCTCCTAGACTCCCTAATTTCAACTGCCTCCCATCCTCCCCATACCGCTAAGCTAGGACTCTATACCAAAGACTTCCCCTCTCCTCCAACATCTGCCAACACAATTTCCTCAACAGAGCCTCATTAAACTTTCTCAATCTTCTCACCCCCAAACCTCCATTCTCTTTACTCAAACAAATAGTATCTCAATCAATCTACGAAGTTTTCCACTTATCTTTCGTACCTCCCCAAAAAAATACAATAAATAAAAATTTAAGAGAAGGGATTATACTTACATGAGTCTTGAAGAAAGAAAGAAAATAAACCAGAATAAAAGACATAGCATATTTCAACAAAACCAACCAATAAAATGATATTTGTTTGTTGTTAAATAGAGTATTTATTTTACTTTTATAAGAAATTTTTGCTTACAAAAAAAAAGGTACGTAGGAATAATGAGGTATCATTACATCTATACCACTAACCATAACTTCTCATTTTTTAGGATAGGTAATTATATCTATACTAATACTCATTTCAATTATGTTTGTAATTATCTCGTGCGTTATAGATAATTTTTGCTATATAAATTTAATTATATATCAAACTACAATTTGTTTGCACAATATAAAAAAGTGCAGAGACATTAAGAAATTTATCATATATATAAAAGAAAGCTATATTATATGATTAAAACGTATTACAAGAAAAACAAAACCGTTGCACTTAGCCTCTTCACTCAAACACCCCCTAGAAAGAAACTTCCAAAAGAAAGATGAAAGAACACACTGAAAAATAATAATCACACTGCACACAAAATAATAGAAACGATAATCACCTACTACAAGTAGGTTTTTATTTCAAAACAACAAAGAAAAACACTATGAAGTACACTACTTAGGGAGAAGAAATTAAATACCACTATACTACTCAACCATGCATGCGTTGATAAGTTCACACCAATCTCCACACAAAATTAAGTTACTTGGTTGGTGGTGATTTTCCATTATGCTGAGGATCAGGTCCTCCTGGTGAGAGTCTATCTCCTGCATCTTTAATTTGTTTATGATATGATGTGTGAATACCTAATTTATGGAGAAGGTTTTTGCTGTCAACATGAACGTGGACCAATAGATGATCATGGAGATTACGAGCCTGCGAAGTTGCGAAGAAAGTACATATTAACATGATTACAAGTGCATACACATGCACTTGATTTGTATACCGAGCCATGTGTGATTTTAATCTTTGAATTGGAGAAGTTGATATAAGAATGGAAGGCTGAGGTGACTTAGAAGATCAATGTGGTGGTTTAATTTGGAAGATGATGACTATGGTATTTATATGCGAGCAAGATGGGGAGATTTTATGGTTAGGTTAGAAAGAGCCCCACACAAGTCATGTTATTTATTAGAGAAAGCACGTGAATGCTAATATTAATTAATGAGCTTGTAGATTTTGGCCAAAAAAAAGTGGGAAAGGTTACATGATTTTTAAAGAAGATTTTGAAGATCATAGTCGCACAAACTCAATTAATTGAAGATATTTTAGTATATAGATGGTAGGGTCATTTTTTTACAACATCATAAAAGTTTATGATCAAAGATTTTATTCATTTTCTTTTTTTTATATAAATATTAATGTATAATATTGCGCAACTACAAAGATTAATCTATTAAACTAAGTTAGATAGAATAGATTTTATTATTGTTAAAAAAGAATTACAAGTGTGAGTAATGTGGAGAAGTCTCACATTAATTAGGAATATCGAGACTTAAGGATTTATAAGTGGGAGGACTCACTCACCTATCACCTTAAGGTTTTGGATGAGTATGTGGTGTGTTTCTCACAAAGAGATTCTAAATTCGTGAGTTGATTAGACGAAGGGAAGGTGTTAGACACCCTTCATCTCCCTTGTTCTCAAGGGGCTCCATTTCTATGTTTAAGGGTAGATCAAAAAATTTCTATTTAACTGTATTATTTCCATGCGTTTGAGAAAAGAGTTTAATTTTTTTGTTATGAACTCGCCTTGATTTTAACCGCATGTCTACGTATCTCTTTACAAAGAATCAGAGTCCAAATTCGTAGTTCGTATGTGTTTGGTTTGTTTTTTTATGTGTTGTATAAATGCTTTCGAGTTATCCTTGAACCTTGTTTGGGTTTGAATATAGCGCAGTCGTAAACGAAGTTCTGAGTTAATTTAGAAAATAAATCTACAATCCTTTTTGAAAATAATATTGGCTTTTTAATTATGTTAGTGAAAAATAATGTTAAGTTTGATCGATTAGATATCTTGAATGCATGATTAAATTTGAAAATAAAGTTTGAATGATGCTAAAAAAATGTCTGATGAAAAGGTTAGTATTATAGAAAATAGTTAATAAATAATTATTATACTTATCATTAGAAATATATTAAATATTTATAATAATAGACAAATATTTATTTATCAACATGATAAATAAAAATGGACAAAAATGATATGGCAAGTAAAATTGATAAATATGAATAAATAAACAAAATAAATAAATAATATAAATATATTGAATAAATTATTTTAATAAAAATAGGGGGTGCATTCTTAGTTAACGTAGTAAAACATGGGGGTTAAAATAGCAAAGGCTTAAACCCAAGGTTCCTTTGAAGCCCAAAGCGCCGAGGGGGTATGAATTATGTTGAGAAAGTAATTATGGGGGGTGTGGGAAGAAAGGGCTTTAGCTCAAACATTTGTTGATCCAAAGGCATCTGGGGTGTAAATAATAGTTGGCATAGTAAACAGAGGGTGTTAATAGAATGGGATTTTCCCAGATAAATTTGCGTGATTCGTTGGATAGTTTGTGGGAAGGTGTAAGGCGTTATGGTACACTGAAGGCATGGGAAGCGTTTGATCTTGATCAAAGGGCCTCCAGAGGTTAACTCTGGGGCGTTGATCAAGAGTATGAACAAATAACGCATTGGATTGAGAGTTGACTGAGGGAGTATGTTAAGATATGCGAATGGAGTGCAGAGAACATTATATATTAATTTTTATCCCAACTTCCCTATTTTTTCTCTTCTTCGTCTCTCTCTCTATAATCCCCTTCTTCTCACTAAAACAAATCTAGAGATAGAGGCTCTGGCCTCTCTCTAGAAAACTTCCATCAGAAATCGCTTCACTCGCATCAGCCGTCGCGAACCACACCCATAACCACTGTAAAACCCAAAACTCTGATTGATATTCAACTGGATTCTTCATCCCAAAACTAGAATTTAGAACCCTAGGATGAATCCTAGGAACCCTAACCCTTCTCCACCGTGGGCAGCCATTGAGGCCGCCACCACAGATGGATGTTCGCCGGGAACATCATCCAAACCCAAGAACTTTAAGAACCCTAACAACTTCTAACCCTAACCTCTTAGAAACCTAACCCTTTAGAACCCTAACAGTGTATAACCTAAACCTATGAACCCTAACCCTATATTTTCATAAACGTAACAATCAAACACAACCAATCATCAATAAAAACAAACAAAACCTAAGCTAAGGGTTTTTAGAGTCATCTCTCCTGCCGTGACACTTCTTGTAAGTTGAATTCCTCTATATTTCTATGATCTCTTTCTTCTAATCCCTCTCTTCTTCTTCTTCGCAGGTACCAACTAAGTGGAGGCTTAGCTTAAAGGGGTTAGGGTTCTAATGATGAATCCTAATCCTTTTTCTTGATAAAGAGTTTTTCTGAGGGTGGGGATTCGCAATAGCAAGCAAGGGTTTCTCCAACTTTTTTTGTTCGTCTTCAATTAGTTTAGGTCTCAATTTATAGGTTTAGTAATTATCTAGTTTAGGAAATTTGTAATGATTTGCAGTTACTATTAGAATTAGAGTTATATTGATTCAGATTTATAAATTAACAAATTTGATTGAGATTTGGTTTAGAAAATAGAAATTAGGGTTTGTACTGATTATGTATATGGAATATTTTGTAATGTAAATTCAATTTAATCAAATAAAATATTTTTTCAATATTTGATTTTCATTTGATTCGTGAATTCAAGTTTTCTGAATCTTGGGCTTAACGTGTTTTCTTAGGGAAGAAGAGAAGAGTAAGTGTAACTGTAGAGTAAAGGGTCCCAACCCTAATTGAATGTGGTCAACAAAACTTAAATAGTAAACAAATAAAAATAATACAAATAATATAGTAATAGTATCAATACCTCATGTATGTCGACTCCAGTCAACCATGATAAATATACTAAAAACCCAATAATCCTAATAATATATAAATAATAATAATAGATGATAATAATATAATAAATAATAATATTTTAATATACATGTTGACGTTGGTCAACAATAATAAAACCAAAATAAAAAGATATTTTAATAGGCCTTTTAAAACTTTAAAGGGTTAATTAAGCTTATTTGATAAAATGGTAAATACACACTTCTCCCCAAAATTAAACCTCTGTTATATCTAAACAGTCTTTTAAATAAAAAACTAATACAACATGAATATAATTTTAAAATATATAATAATACCCAAAATTTAATAGAAACATGATAAAATAAAATAAATTAAACACTTACACCAATAGGGAAATTTTGGAGTGTGATAGCTACTCTTATTTAATTATTCTTCGATTGAGAGTGCGAGAATACGGAAGTCTCACACATTCAGATCAGATGGTTATTAAATATTGGAAGATCCCAAATTTCGACCAAAATTTTGAAAAAAGATAAATTGTATGATGAACCAAAAAAAGACAAGAATGACGCAGTTAACTCACTAATGCCTAGAGCAAGAGCATAAATGACCTAGATGTGACGACGCATATAACTCGTCAACACCCAGAAAGTAATCATAGATTTCGTGTTTTTACCATAACCTAAGAGGTAAATAACGTGAGCTTAAAAATGGATAACTTATTGCTTCTTTGAGACTGATGCAACAAGCTATATCGCAAATTTGCATACTTACTGCAACCTAGGGAGTAAATAACAAAAGTTTGATAGTTACCTTACTAACGCTTCGAGACTAACATAGTAAGCTACAACATAAATTTTGCCTATTTATCACAACCTAGGGAATAAATAACATAAGTTTGATAACTCATTGTCTCTTCGAGACTAACACAATGAACTATATCGTAGAAAATATATAACTTATTATTGCTTCGAGACTGACGCAACGAGTTATATCATAGACCTTCATATATCTACTACAACCTAGGGAGTAAATGATATGAGTTTGAAAATATCTTACTAACGCTTGGAGACTAACATAGTAAGGTGTATCATAGTTTCACGACATTTATCACAACCTAGGGGATAAACTATGCGGGTTTTGAAAGATAGATAACTTATTGCTGCTTCGAGACTGACGCAACGAGTTATATCGAAGATTATACACGTCTACCATAACCTATGGGTAAAAATATGGGTATCAACTCTACTTATTCCAGGGGACTAATAGACTCAGGTCTGGTAACAAACTAGCTAAAGCTTCGAGACTAACATGGTGAGTTGTAATGCAGACATGTTATTTATCACAACCTATGGGATAAATGATACAGGTTTGATGTTTGAGATTGAGTTTGATAGTCGAATATTAGATGACTAAACCAAAGATATAAATCACAGATATATCGTTTAGTGAAGTTCCAATCTACCAATTGTGTCTGTTCTCAATCGAGGTATTTGTTGCTAATGGTGTGAACAATGCTAAGGCTTGAATTTTTGGTTCACGTAGATGTCTTAGCTGGTAATAGACCCCCAAGATATTTCGCAGTAGTCTTGGTCTAAGAATTTTGAAAAATGAAATGTATAATGTATATGTATAATGCCCAAATGGATATGATGCCCAATGATGATTGACATGATGCCTGATGGCAATGTTATTGATATGTGTGATACGGTGGCAGAATCGACTGTTTAATACTGGTTTGCATTTTGCATTTTTTATTTGCAAAATGTCACGATAAGCAAGAGTCGCTGTGATCGGTGGAAATAGAACTGACTGTTTTTAGCTGGTTTCGCGAAATGTCGCGGTAAGAAAGAGTCGCCACCGTCTTTTATGTTCTCCAACATGGAAAGGACAAAAGCACGGCAAAATTCCTTTTTCGAGAATGTTTCTCGGTTCGGGAGGTAGATTTATAGAAAGGGAAGGTGTTAGCACCCTTTCTATCCGTGGTTATCCACGGGCTCTTAGGTACTTGCTCTTATGTTTTCAAAATTTGTTTGCTTTTCAAGTGTGTGTGGG